AAGAAGGAATCGTTAGAGTTTGCGACAACACTAATGAAAAGCGAATACAGAGAACAGATTGATATCAAGTTCAAGAAGAAGATCGAAACACTGGTTCGTAAGTCAGGCGGTGTTCACAAGAGTGGAGAGCAATCAGACAATGATGTGACACATACTCCCTGTCCTTATTGTGATAACGATGTCGTCGATACAGAACTCTCTTGTCATAAGTGTCGCAATTCTATACCTTTTTGTATCGCAACNGTTCACAAGAGTGGAGAGCAATCAGACAATGACGTGACACATACTCCCTGTCCTTATTGTGATAACGATGTCGTCGATACAGAACTCTCTTGTCATAAGTGTCGCAATTCTATACCTTTTTGTATCGCAACCGGAATTCATATCATTAAAGATGATCTAACGGTTTGTCCGAATTGTCACTTTCCGGCCATTTTAAGTCAATTCTCAAGACTTATGTCAAGCGAACCGATGTGTCCGATGTGTAACACAGCCGTCGATTCGACACAAATTGTCAAATTAGAAGACATTCAATCCATTGTGGATCTCAACTAAAGATAAACGTTTCAAACAGAATATTATTTTGCTGTTAAAAATTCTGTATTTTAAAGAATTGTTATAATTTTGTTGAAATAAATAGAATTTTCAACAAAATAAAGATTTAGTAATAAATAAAAATTTCGAGAATCAGATTAAGAGAAATGAGTTTTATAATTGTTTTTTGTAATGAAAATATTGATTTAATACTTTGTTTTGATAATAGATTAGCTTTTCTTCACTTCATTCAACATATGGGCCTTGAATTGAGATCTACAACATGTTAAGAGAAATGAGTTTTATAATTGTTTTTTGTAATGAAAATATTGATTTAATACTTTGTTTTGATAATAGATTAGCTTTTCTTCACTTCATTCAACATATGGGCCTTGAATTGAGATCTACAACATGTGAAGCGCTATCCAAATAGAATTGTTAAAAAAGAAATCACTTTAAAATATCCGAATTAAATTTCATCCGTAAACTTCCACATCACTTATACATGTATATAGAATTTTAATCTGTTCATGCTGAAATAAAGACTAAAATATATAGGTATTACAAAATGTCTTTAAGCAATTATTTTTAAATAAAGTAATATTGCAGTATTTGATGCAAGTAATAAAAATGCATTAAACTTACCTTCTTAAATAGAATTTATTATTCCATAAGAAATTTAGTCAAAATTTGCCCCAATTTTGCCAAAATAACAACGTTTTTGTTCTATATTTACAGTTCTCTCAATAATTTATTTTTATCCCTATTTTTGACAAATTGATAAAAATTTGCTGAAAGATTACGACTACTGTATATTTGTTGGCGGAATGAGATGTTTTGGCAAAACCTTAAAAATGAGATGTAATTACATAACAATATTCTATTGGTTAACACAAAACACAACATAATTATAAACACAAAGACAATACATTTAATACAATTATATTTGATTCACATATAGATAGAGAGATAGAGCCTAAAGATATAAACGTTAAATCTATTATCTTTATTGATTTTTTAGATAAATATAGTTAAATGAAAAAATAACAGAACATTTAATTTAATATTTTTTATTGAAAATATGAAATTCGGTAAGAATTTCAAAAATAATGAATTGAAATAAAAGAACATATATTAATATATTGTATTCCTTTGTATATTAATTCAAATAATTGATAAAATTATTTGAATTAATTAAAAATTAATTATAGTTAAGAGATTTGTGACAAATATAAAAGAAATCTCTTACAAAACAAAGAATTTTATAATTATATCATATATAAGACATTGAAGAATATTTGAAAAACAAATTCATACGAATGTAATTTAACAACAAAATTGTCATCGTATCTTTAAATATTCAAAACTAAACAACAAATCATTAGTTTGTTTTGATTACTGATTATTTTTTACAGGAAAAAAACATAAATCATAAATGTTTTGGCACTTTGTTTATAACACGTACAGTGAATACAGTATATAAACACACAAAATATGTCATCAGAATTATAGGGAAGAAAAGGAAATTTAAATTTGTATAAATATATTGGACATAGAATCGGGTCTATCATTAGGTCACCCATTTGTTGGTCCCGTAAACAGAAAATAATATATGATTATTTAACAAAATTGGAGACCATTAATGAAATTAGACATTAGTTTTGATATAAATAGTTGCCTCAAAACATATAGTATTATAACAGAAAGACTCAAATGTTAGGATCCAGACTCCGTACTAACGCAACAATAGGCAGACATTGAGGAGACATGACATGAATTATCTATAAGAATAAAAATAGAATCCAATTCAGAAGAATTCAATCACAAATAGTTTTAATTATTTTTATTTCTCTATAATGTATACTAACGCAACAATAGGCAGACATTGAGGAGACATGACATGAATTATCTATAAGAATAAAAATAGAATCCAATTCAGAAGAATTCAATCACAAAAAGTTTTAATTATTTTTATTTCTCTATAATGTATAAAATATATATAAACTAAATGTAAACTAATCTTTTGGTTTTTCATATTTTAAATATATATAAAATTTACACATCTTTACACTTAATGTGATTTTAAATCCATTTATTACGCAATGGAAGTATAATTAAGAAACTATCAAGATAGGTATTCGCAATTAAAAGTCAACTTAGTTTATATAAAAATCTAATGTTGTATAAAATATTCAGATTTTTAACAAGATTGTGATATATATTTATAAAAAGTATAAAAAATAAAATCTGTATAAAACTAGATGTTTGTAAATATTTATGTATTAAATAAATGCCTAAAATTGAAATTCCGATTTGAGAATAGCTGCCAAAAAAGATACAGTACTTACTTATTAGGCAATTGTCTTACCTTTTAATTTGTGTGTCTGTCTGTAAACAAATTGGATTTATAGTGTAATTGAATGTGATTTTAATTAATATGGTTTATCTCTAGTTTTTTTGAGCTGCACTTTAAGTCGTTTATTCCTGATCTGAAAGCCATGCATCGCCTGAATAGCCGTTTGAGCCGACAGTGAGTTATCGTACGAAACAAATCCTATTAATGGTTAAAAGATCTCTCAATAAATCATTTCATTCAATACTATAATACTTAATAACACATTAATTGATTGCATATTTTCTCACCAAAACATTTGCTTAAATTAGAGTTTTTGTCGATAAAAACTTTGGCTGAAATCACATTTCCAAACGGAGCAAACGTCCCAATTAAGTCATTGTCATTAAATTCGGCTGAAATACCAAAACATTATTACATTTTCATTTAAATCTTTCGGGCATTTGTCATCCTATTATAATACAGTACTATATGTACAGTACAGTACAACCTTCACATAAGAAATTCTCACAAACAAAACCTTTCTAAACATCATTTTTCACTGATTTTTACAAGATTCTACTAAAGAAACCCTCTATATAAGAAACACTTGGTGTTGAATAATGGTTTCTTATGTGGAGGCTTTACTGAACACGATAAATTATAAATACCGTATGTAAGATTATATAATAATATATAACTAATGATATAATAAGTTAATTGAATAAATGACTTACGGGGTAAATGATAGATGAAAAGGTTGGCGCCTTCAGGGCCTTCAGTTTGTTTATTGATAACCGTATTATTGGAAATAGAGCTCAAAGACGTGGCCAAGTGTTGAACGCCAGACATTGTCGACGTTGTGGATAGGGATGGGCTGACTGTATAAGTCAACTGATCGCGAACTCCTGTAATCATATCGAGTTTATTACTGTTATAGTGAGGATTCAGCGATAATGTGGGCGCCGGTGACGACACTTTGGATGGTGTTGTGCCCGTCAGAGCCATTAAAACAGGATTGGATAAGACTTGGGCCAGCGATATGTCTGAAGTGAGACATTGTTGCTGTAGTGCCAGAGTTGTGGCCAATTGTTGCTGTTGTTGAGCGGCGTTCGTCAGAGCGGCTAAAGTCAGGTATGGATTCGTCATTAATGGTGTTGACAGCGGAGAAGAGCTCTGTGTCCACAAGTGTTGCATTAATGACTGTTTGCCTCTTTTCTGGTCTTTATCTTTCTGTGTGTCCGCAAACTTTACCACCAGTGAAGAAGTGCAGCCCTTTATTGCATT